ATAGGGAATTTACAGAATATCCTCAAACACATAAAATGTATGCCTATTTTTTAGACAGGTGAGTACTACTCAATACTCATTAAGATAATATTCTATTTAGAAGTTCTTGGGAGGACATCTGCAAGCTTACAAAGACACGTCGCGACCTCAGTGCTTTCTTGTCCTATCTCCATTTCTTAAACATAGAAAATGTTACTTCTTCTGAAGTTCAGTCTTTGTTATGAACAGTTACTGTTTTCACTGTTATTAAAAATTGAGATTGGACAAGTAAGCAATAATGTCACAAAGTGGGTATAGAATGGTATTGTGAGAGTGCGATTCCGGGGGTCCGAGGCTCAGCTCGGTGAAATATGTGAGGCATTGTGGTGGAATCATGCGCTGGTCCTGAAATAGAAGAAACTGTCACTTTTCCTCCTGTTTGGCAATTTTTATTGAAATTTTTGTTTTTTGGCTCAACACCTTTATGTCCATTTAAAAAGATATTTCAATGTTGGAAATTACTGAAAATCTCGATTAAAGGCACAAAAAATGCAAATGTTCAGTTTCTGAGAACTCTCAAGAAATAGAAGTGACCGAATTTGGCGGCCTTTTTCTCGCTAATTTTACCTCTGAAACCAGGCGATACCCACCCCCTTCAAGTGCAAATATCTCAACCTCTATTCAAGTCAGATGGATATTTTTTTCACCAAATGCAAGACAAATGTATAAGCTTTAAGATGTTACAATAACTCAATATCCCCAAAAATTGACGAGTGCCTGATTCCTCCGCGTCCCGCCACATATTTTGTCCGTGGGAATGACACTTTACCTGAATGTTTCCACTACGCTCGGTCTTATCGGTGAGGGGCATTAAATTCGGAGGTCCAGCCTCTTTGATGAACTTACAATCTTCGAGCACGGGATACATCTATTCAATTTCGCATGATAAAACGTTTTTCTTTTGAGACGAAAAACTTGTCATAGGAGATAAACTGTGCTCTGGGTAAAAGTACGTTTTTCCCTATCTATCTATCTATCTATCTATCTATCTATCTATCTATCTATCTATCTATCTATCTATCTATCTATCTATCGATCTATCTATCCAACTATCTATCTATCTATCTATCTATATATCTATCTATCTATCAAATGTTTTATATCATCTATCTATCTATCTATCTATCTATCTATCTATCTATCTATCTATCTATCTATCTATCTATCCAACTATCTATCTATCTATTTATCTATCTATCTATCTATCAAATGTTTTATATCATCTATCTATCTGTATATTCATAGGGCTTTTTGGTACATTTGCAAGTCTGTCGGTCGGTATCGAAATCAGGCGCTTTCTCGTTGTTTGTTTTTGTTTTTTTAAACTGTGGTGGAGTCTTTGTTTTGGCTTCTGTTTTTTTTTTGTCTAAAGGGGGGAAGGGGGGAGTTCTTGTTTTCATAGCAGTGGGGGAAAGAGGGGGGTAGGGGGGGGGTGTTGTCGAGTTTATTTGGAGTGTTTATTTGTCCTATCTATCCTAATTTTACTTCCTCAGCATTTTCATGTCTCTATGTTTACACTGAAAAAAAGAGGCACAGATAGAAAAAGACATAAAAAGTTCAAGCGGCAAAGACAGACAAGGAAGATTGTTTGGGGTTCGGGGTAAGAGGGGGATGAGAAGGTTGATAAACGAAGGGATTTGGCGGTTGGGGGGGGTAGGTGGGGGTGGAACGGGGTGAGTGAATGTGTGAGGGTGGGTGAGGGGGTAGGTGGGAG